GATCGCCTTGCCTCAGGTACAAGGAAGTTCCGAAACAAGAACCTCGGCTAGATTTTTTGCAATGATTATGTTCTCACGACGCCATATAATTTTTTTTAGTATGACAAAGGAATTGCGTTAAATTTCATTAGTGCTATGGTGACAGATACCTTAATTGTGATGAACATGTTTCGCTAATTATTCGTCAAATAAAAGTAAATAAAAAAAACTGCGCTCCGTTTATCAGGCAAATTAATAACTCGATTCAAACAGGTAAGGAAAATTCAATTATATCCTTTATTCAATATAGAAGAAGCATTACACTTACTTATTGATTGTCAAAAAACAACTATCGCTTCGAAAAAGAAGACAGACCGACTTGAGAAGAATCGGCGAAAGAAACTCAGCGGGAGATACAATGCAATGCCTCGTATACTATTATATTTTTACAAAAAAAATATGATAATATATGTTTTTGTAATTTAAATGAACGGAGTTTCTCAGCGGACACGTATTTCTTCACTCTAGAGTTTAGTTATGAAAACAATTTGACTAAATTAGTTATGTCAGTGTTCGTGCACTCTGTGGTTACTTTTAATTGCTCAATCCTCATAATAAAGATGCGCTCATCACTTTAAATTTTGTTGAGAAAGGTTATGTTGCACTGTCATAGACATGTAGTGTGTTTTGTGGAAAAAGTGAAACGAAGGATTTCGTTGCAGTGTTTTTTTTTTATGGAGAAAAGTGGCAAACGGGCAGGAGAATCATCTGATGGTAAGTGATTATCGCTGCCCATGAACACCTGCAACACGGGCTCACAACTGCATTGCCAGCTTTTTAGGAAAGAGTTTGCTCTCTTCTTGAAGGTTCCCAGGACGTAACGGTCCGGAAAAACCGCCGGTGGCAGCTGGTTCCACAGAGTGGTTGTGCGAGGCAGATAGGTAACTGTGGTAGGACCATGTAACAGTATTCACTGTTGCACTAATGAGCAGGTCCGTCCGGGTAAGTACCACGAACTCACAGAAGACCGGCGTAGAGTAAGAGTTATATTATTCTGCGTTTCGTCTGGTGAGTGAGGTGGCCGGAGCCCACTTTATTTAAAGGTGGCAACGCATTTGCAACCGTATTGGTGTTATAAACATTAAACATGTTAACATCAGGTGAACCACCAACTCGTTGCCGTAGCAAAAAAACGCAACGGCTCAATGAATATAGTAGACGGATCATAACCGCCTCGCAAGGTACTTAATTCAATGATAATATAGGTACATAGAATAAGTCTAGTATGAGAACATTTAGTTCTTTGATTTCCTATTCAATTGGATACGATAGTTATATTTAGAATTTGACTGAGTGACAGAGGAGAATCTGCCGTAAAGTATTAATGTAATTACCAAAAAACAAGCAGTGGATAGAATAACATCATCTTATAAAGTGCACGTACCAAAGTAAACGTGATTGTTTATATCTCCATTCCCATCATCTAATTAGGAAAGAAAACATTCGTTAAGTTTTTGTTTAAAAACGTTATAAAACAAAACTTTATAATTATATATCTATAGTCAACGTCTATTTACTTTCCGTTAAACAAGTTATTTATATCTAATAATGTTCATAAATAAAAGTTCACACAACGTAACGAAACGAAATAACGTATTTGGGAGTTTCCAGATTAACATATCTTTTATAATCCCAATGAAAAGCTAAAATAGAAAAGAATTGACTTTGAACATAAAATGGCAAAACTTTCAAAATCTTTCAGCAATCTTACTCTTGTTTAATTAATGTTGCGAAAAATAAATCACAGGCGCTACGATATTTACAAAAATAACATAAAGTAAAGAACGGGTTTGAAAGTGCTCCGAATTTTATCTTAATGATAAATGACAACCCAGTGATTTAAAGCAGATGGTTGACGGCAATGATGTTTAATAATATAGATGACGCATGTCCATACTGTGCGGCGTTTAAAAGTTGCTCCTTTTTGTTATTTATAAGACATATGTAAGTGAATGTGACAGATGATATAGAACGTATGATAAGGAAAGAGAGAGAGGGAACGCAGTATATAGTGCCTCAATTTCGATGCGCTAGTGTCGTATCTTCAGGGTCGGATTTAGAGGTCTGGAGGCCTCGGGGCAAAAAAGGAGTCGGAGAGGAGGTCGGATCCAAACAACGTCAAAATCTTTCGGAAAGTTTTCCATTAAACTCTCATTTAATTTCCACGATTTTTAATGTTTTATCTTATTCATTAAAATGTACTGAACTGCCGCCATTTGAATGTTGGTGTTTCACTTAAATGGGAAAAATCTTTTTTTTTTTCGGAGCGTTCGCCATTCAGTGCGTGTCTTTGGTGTCCAAGCTCCTGCAAGCAAATTTGTTTTTAACTGCCTTCTAGATAGGAGAAACTACTTATTTCTTTTAGAAATAAGTAGTAAAATCGTTGAAATACATCATCGGTGAAAATTCAACTGTCTAACTTTCACGGTTCATGAGATACAGCCTGGTGACGGACGGACGGACAGACAGACAGACAGACAGCGAAGTCTTAGTAAAAGGGTAAATCTGCCCTTTGGGTATGGAACCCTTAAAACGGGTGTAAATAAGCTAGGAAAACTCGACTTCTTGGACACCAACAATCAATGACATCATCACATCGCTTTAGTTGTAAAACTAAAGCGATGTGATGATGTCATTGGTTTTATTTAAAATTACGATTTCTTTTGTGAGGTTTTTGTTTGTGACAAATCGAGATGTCACGAACGCTAGGATAATGGGATGTGTTCAGTGTATTATATGGTTGTATTATTGATCCTTGGTATTTATAAAGCCAAGGAAGGATAGCGTGTACGCATGCGGAGATACTTATAGTAGATTATCAAATCTTTCTATTGGAACTCTCTCAAATGCGAAGACATTTTTCTAAATTGTAAATTGTTTGTGCAGTGCCTAGAGAAATGCTATGTTGCTGATACGGTTACTTATATGTAAGAGATAATCAAAGTTTCTTTATTCAACATACTTAATTTTAGCTATTATTAAAGTCAAAAACTACCACCGGCTTATAAAACTAGACCTGCCAGAGAAGAACCGACAAGAAACTCTGCAATTTTATATTTTTTTTTAGATATATGTTGAATTTGTTGTTACGTTATCCATACCAGGAAATTTTGAAAAAAGTTATGATGGTTTCGGTTCTAAGAGAAAGTAGCTACTACCGACCGATGTAACTTATGGCGAAGTAAGTAACCACAATCGCCCATGGGCATCGGAAAGACCAGAAGCGCTGTGTTCTCATAGTACAAACTCGGTAAGGTAATATAAGTAGATAACACGTTCATATCTTCGTTTATGAGTAAGGCTGTTACTTTTCCCGTCGAACTGGTCTATTTATGTTACGACAAAAGCCGCTGAATCGTACTACAATAAATAAATCATTCCAATAAGAGGACAATATGCATTTAATTGTTCCTGTTTTCCTGTTAATTTTATTCCTTTATTAAAACTTACGAAAACTTAAAGGCCAAATGTAGAGTCAATATCCAAATTTTTTAAATTAAATTTTGGAAACGACCTCGTGGAAGAGGTAAACACTTGATTAAATAATAGTTAAATGTAGTTTAATGAGAGTTGAAAAGGCTTCAAATATTCTAAATCAACTTGTGATCGCCGGTGTCGATGAGAAGATATATAAGGATTAAATGTTTCTGCTGGGTTTGTCTTCAATAACGTGACTTCGTCACGTTTTAAAGCTAGATCAGCGATAATTACTTTGTATTGAGGTAGATTATTTATCTGTCAATCAATTAATAGCAAAGAGACAGGAGTATGATATTAAAGCAGTAATCTTGAAAAGTTGCGCTTTAGCAGTTAGAAGATATGCAGACGAGTGCATTAAGTAGGTATAATAAACCCCTTTTGAATTTCTGAAAGCAAATAGAAGAAGGAGTTAATTTAACACAGGATGAATTTCATTTACTCTACAATAAACCACCCCTTTTCTCGATGCTAATTACACGATAACACGGCCTTTAGGTTGAAAATATTTTGTGTCACTAGTACGTATCGTATAGTACGTACGTATACTTCTCACAATGGATTGATGAACAATTACTTGTCGAAGAAATATATCTTCATTGGTCGTTTTTGTTAACTTATAAAGCGATCAGGTGTTACAATGTTGGCCATATTTATTTGGTTTAGTTGGTTTAGGTTCACAGACCTACGTTGGGAGTGCAAAAAATTAATAGAGTCGAACCCGGAACGTTTGGACACGGCCAGTGAGCAAGTGCAAAAAGCTACTGTGATGTACTTAGACGATACGGAGAAGTTATTCGGTATTCATCGATATTCTTTTTTTTATGTGAAAAGTTGCCAAACGAGCAGACGGTTCACCTGATGGTAAGTGAATACCGCCGCCCATGGACATCTGCTACACCCGAGGGTTACAGATGCGTTGACAACCTTTTGAAAATTGGGCTCCAGCTACCTCACTCACCAGACGAAACGCGAAAGTATTTGTCATACTTCCACTTTACGCTGGTCTTCTGTGAGGTCGTGGTACTTACCCGGACGGGCCTGCCCATTCGTGCAACAGCCGAGGCTGTTGCGAGGCCCTACCACCGTTAGTTTATATTAAAGAAACAAATTCTCGAAAAGAAATGAAGTTACTGTTTCCATGAATTAATTTATGGTTGATAAATTCAAAGATAAAGGTATAGAAGATGAAATAAAAAAGATTTGTTCAATATTATGTGATATGAACATTTGATAAATGAAAGTAAACAAAATTGGGGAACGCAATAAAGTTTTTCACGTTTCGTAACTTATTTCATAATTCACATCACATTTGAGTGATGATTCACTTGATTTTATTATAAATAAATAAATTTAAGCTTTATGTGAAAAAAATGGTGTGAATTTTTATTTAAATAACAAACCATGTTTAAAATAAAAAAAAAACACTTAAAGCCTTATGACCTTGTTCGAAAATTAAATCGTATAATGAAAACAATACTTACATATAAATACGGCTCCATGAAAACCTCATAAACATTGCTTTGATAGCCTTCGATCGCAGGCAATGATTTTATAGCAAGATTTCTGCCATAGCCTGGTATACCATGGAAGGTTTTTCCATTCAAAGCTGTTATGATCCATAAAAATTGTCCGAAAAATATATGCAGTCTGAGATTCATTATCGAAAAAGTTTGTAAACCATAAAATAAAATATAACTAATTTTTTGGAAGCAAAATGTCAAAAGCTTTTGTCCAAAAATTAAAAGGCTTTAAAACTACAAATAATTTTTGACAGCGCGTGTCGTCTACACAAATGGCGGGCTGTCAATGATTTTGATTCACGGTATGGGGCTTGAGGTGATGTTTTTATCCGTGTAATGTACACGTGAAACGATCGTATGTCGGTTTGTCATTACTCGAGCTTCGTGAGGAATCAAGGCTCCGTAATTGAGAAGCGTGAAGTAATGATGAGTTGGATACGGCTTTGTTTCGGTTATTGGAAACTGACAATTAAAGATACTCAATGTCAACAAAGAGTATATTAAACTTTTATACTAACACTTGTTTTTTTTTTTTGACTCACCGATAATTTGAATGATAAATAAAGTTATCGTTTAATTTTGTACGGGTGTAAAATAAATATTAAAAATACACAAACAGGTAAAGAAAATATGTAATTAGATCAAAGTATCTGTCATTATGTATTAGCTCACTGCTTGCTCCCATTCGGATCGAAAAAACAAAGACCTGAAACCTCGTTTTTGACTTGCTTTGTTTGATTCGAAGTTTGGAAAATGTCTAAACATTTTCCAAAATTCATAAAAAAAAAAAACTCAAACATATCATCATCATCATCATCATATCAGCCGTAGGACGTCCACTGCTGAACATAGGCCTCCCCCATTGACTTCCACTTCGACCGGTCGTTAGCGGCCTGCATCCAACGCGTCCTTGTGGGAGGCCTTCCTACGCTGCGTTTGCCGTCACGTGGTCTCCACTCGAGAACCTTTTTGCCCCAACGGCCATCGGTTCTTCGAGCTATGTGCCCTGCCCACTGCCACTTCAGCCTGCTGACTCGCTCTGCTATGTCGGTAACTCTAGTTCTTCTACGGATCTCCTCATTTCTGATTCGATCTCGTAGAGAAACCCCCAAGCATTACCCTTTCCATAGCGCGCTGTGCGACCGCGAGCTTCCTTATGAGGCCCATAGTGAGAGACCACGTCTCGGCACCGTAGGTCATCGCTGGTAGCACGCACTGGTTAAAGACTTTGCGTCTTTAAGGACTGTGGTATTTTGGACGTAAAGACGCTGCGCAATTTCCCGAACGCAGCCCAGCCGAGCTGGATTCGTCGATTGACCTCCTTCTCGAAGTTGGATTTGCCTTGTTGGACCATTTGTCCCAGATAGACATAGCTATCAACAACTTCGAGTGGCGAGCCCAACAATACGGGGGTGGGCGTCACATGGACATTTGACATGACTTTGGTCTTTTCCATGTTCATTTTCAGGCCCACCCGCTGGGATACTCTATTGAGGTCTTCGAGCATTGTGCTGAGCTCCTCCAAAGACTTTGCCATGACTACGATGTCATCGGCAAACCGAAGGTGAGTGTTGTATTCGCCGTTGATATTGATGCCACATCCAATCCAGGAGCTTGAAGGCGTCTTCCATTGCATTGGTAAAGAGTTTCGGAGAGATAACATCTCCTTGCCTCACTCCCCTCTGCAACGGAATAGCCTTTGTGCTCTGATCCTGTACTCAGACTGACATGAGGGCGTTTTTATACAAGCAATTCAACGCTTCGATGTACCGATAGTCAATTTGGCACCTTTGAAGAGACTGCAGCACTGCCCAAGTCTCGATCGAATCGAAGGCTTTCTCATAGTCCACAAACGCTAAGCATAGTGGCAAATTATACTCCTCAGTCTTCTGTATAATTTGCCGCAGCGCATGAATGTGGTCTATGGTACTATAGCCTTTACGGAAACCGGCTTGTTCGGGAGGCTGGAAGTCATCAAACCTGCGTGCGAGACGATTCGTGATCACCCTCGAAAACAGCTTATAAACATGGCTCAGAAGCGAGATGGGCCTGTAGTTCTTTAGCAAGGTTTTGTCACCTTTCTTGAAGAAGAGGACCACCATGCTTCCGTTCCATGTTCTGGGCGTAGTACCCTCGGACAGGACGGAATTGAAGAGCTTCTGAAGGACTTTCAGTACCGGTGTTCCACCCGCTTTCAGAAGCTCTGATGTAATTCCGTCCTGTCCGCCGCCTTGTTGTTCTTAAGCTGCTTGAGGGCCATCCTGATCTCGAACAGGCTGATGTCCGGGATATCTTCTGTATAGTGTCGAGTTGGTTTGGCTCTTGGATCTTTAACCAAATCGTCAACAGGCTTGGCTCTTGAGGTATATAACTGTCCGTAGTACCTTTCGATCTCTCTCAGTACCTCTGACTTAGTAGATGCTACACTGCCGTCTTCCGTCTTCAGCTTCGTCAACTGGCTCTGCCCAATAGAAAAGTCTCTTGCAAACACTTTGGAGCCCTTATTCTGCTCTATCGTATCTTTAATACGATTAGTATTAAATTTACGGATATCGTGTCCCAAGGACTGATAAATCCGTCTATTGAGCTGCCGATATGCTTCAGCGTCCTCGGAAGTCTGCAGCGTCATTGAGCGTCTCTCCGCCATAAGGTCGATGGTATGATCTGATAATTTTTGAGGTCTATCTTTCCGGCGGGGTCTAAAGAAAGCTTTCCCTACCTCGTGGACAGTTTCTACCAGCCTGTTGTTGACCTCGTCCACAGAAACGCAATCCTCCAGGATGGAGAAGCGATTTGTGAGCTCGAGTTGAAAGCTCTCGGGGTTTTGTATGTGGGCTGCAGTGGGTCGGAGCGTGGACTTTATTAAGCGAGACCTTTCTAGGTGGACATTAATATTCAATGTGCCTCTAACCATTCTGTGATCACTCCCAGTTTTCACCCTGTGTATCACGGAGACATCATTAAATATCCGTCTCTTTGTCGACAAAATGAAGTCAATCTCATTTTTTGTGCAGCCGTCGGGACTCATCCAAGTCCATTTCCTATGAAGCTGCTTCTTGAAGAAGGAGTTCATCATGAAGAGTTCCTCCTTCTCCAGAAAGTCAGCCAACTTCTGGCCCCTTGGATTTCTGCTTCCATATCCAAATTTCCCCACTCTCAACTCATCATCGCCTCTCCTGCCTAGTTTCGCGTTAAAATCCCCCATGACAACAGTAAAGTATGTTTTGGAAGTATGTATGGCCCTACTGATGTCCTCATACATAGCTTCCACTTCATCGTCCGGGTGCGCCGAGGTCGGTGCGTAGACCTGTATGACCTTCAACGAGTACCTCTTTGATACTCTGAGTATAAGGAACGCCACCCTGCTCGACACACTCGTGATACATACCACGTTGTTAACGAGGGACCTGTGAACGAGGAACCCGACACCACCCTGGGACTGCTGGTCGCCCTCCCGGGTGGTAGAATAAGCTGCCAGACTTTAAGGTCATCGTGTCCTCACCCTCTCTTCGGACCTCAGATAAACCCACTATGTCCCAATGCAGCTTACTCATTTCCTCTTCCAGCTCAGCTATCTTTTCGTCTGTCCTTAGCGTGCGCGTATTGTATGTCACCAGCGACAACCTACGTCGGTTGTCAGTTGTGCAATAGCCAGAGGTCGTTTGAAGGTAACATCCCGCCCGGAGATTATTAGCACCCCTGGCTCCGACGCTCGACCGACGCCCGTCAACGCCGGCCTTGCAGCCGGAGCCCCCGGGCACTAGGGGCCGTGCTACTTTGTCCACCATCATATGGGGGGTACGGACCATAACCCGCCGCGCTGGTCCAGTGCGTGTTGGCGGGTTGCCAGAGCCTCTTTCGTTGATCAGCAGAGTGCACCGCGGGCAGGCGAGGTTGGCTTGGGTCCCGAGAGATGTTGGTTGGGACCCCTTGCACTCCAAACATATAATCAAACGTACATTAAAATCACATGCAGCGAGAAATTTAAATCTCCAGTGATATCACAGCTGTTTATGGTACCGCTAGGGCGGTCCCATTTTTTGAATGAGGCGCCGTGGACGCGTGCACTGCGCACTTTAAATTATCGCTAGGGATGAAGATTTATTCTTGTGTGTTCTCTGAGTGAATTCAAAAAAGTTGCATTGTTAATTTGTAGTGGATATAGTAAATGAGTAGTTCTTTATGTTGTAGATTTATTGTTGTTGTGTTTATTGTATTATGGTACCTGTAATGATAGTGAAAGGTTTTGTTAGTAAAGAAATACATAAAATTCGTTCAGGAATATATTTCAGTAAAGTACCCAATTGGTTGTCAATAAACAGTCTTGGAAGTTGAACATTAAAAAAATAAACTCGTATGTCATCGCTTGACGTATCTTGTCACGCCGCTGTACCGCGTTCGTGTACCTAAGTAATAACCGAATCACAAGACACCAATGGAGTAGCGGACAGGGATGAACCGCGACTTTGTCTACAACTATCAGGATGACGAGCGCACGATGTGTTCGAGTGTCGGCGGCACTCTGAACAAATGGCTGTGGGGGGCGCTGTGCTGCGGAATTCCAGGCGTGCCTTGTTACTTCTGCACTTGCTGCAACAAAATGGACGACACTACTGAACGGGAGGGGCCCAGAATAAATCGTAAGATTTGCGTTTGCAACACCCGATTGCGCTTTGATTTCTCGATTTTAAGCGGAATATTTATAATACATATTAAATGAAACTTGTTTACTGATTTTGTTGTGTTTTAATTTTGATTTTTAATTCCCGACGTTTCGAACCATTTCCGGCGTTCATGGTCACGGGAATCATAATTAAAATGCTATAAAATCCATAAACTAGTTTCATTTCATTGCGTTTGGTAATGAATGTCATGAGAGTAATTACCGCCTGGCTATTCTATTTCAGTCATGATCTAATGATGGTATGAGCCCAATTTTTTGTTGTTTATTTCAATGACATCGTTTATTATTACGCAAAATGTTAAACAATTTCCAAATTTTCGTTCTTCGCGCAAATACATCGCGACTTTTCGCTACGGACCTTTATATTATATGCCTTTCGTAATCTAGATGGCCCATTGGCGATATCCAGACAGCTACTCGATTTTCCAGTGCAGGAAACGCTGCTTCAGATAATCGTATATAGGGTAATCTTGAATGTTGGTGATGGGTTTACGTTGTTGGTTAAATATCGGTTATCAGTGGTTTTTTTTGTGTTGTTTGGTACCTTGGAAAAAGAGGCTCCTCGCTTCTTTCGAGGCGTTCACCTTCTTATCTAGGCAATACATGTCGCTAAGAGCTGCGTCTAAATTATATCTATTACTTACTACAAGTGTTGTGTGTAAATTGGTGTGGAGTTGGTCTGAACTGAATGCTGTCAATTTAATCGTGCATACTTTACACATCTGACCTAAACTTTAAACGATTTTAGTACACACTCTCCCTCACTACCTCTACAATAACATTGACTTGGATTGTTGGACGCTTATAGAGTTTCAGAACGATATTCACAGATCACAGAAGTTAAACACGCTTAGCGCCACGCGCCGAAGTCATTAGGTCCCGCCCGAAAACACTACGATTAGTGGTAGCACGCACAACCAATTACTTGTGACAATAACTTCTTTAGACGATAACACACGCGTTATTATTATGTAATATGGCTAAGACCGGCAGGTCTTAGTCAATGAAAGACGCTGCATCCGGCCCGTGAAATCTGATCGTCCCACTAGCTCTGCTCTTAACGAATCTAACCATCACGTCCATCATCTAAACATCATCTCTGGCAGGTCAAGTCCGCTCACGAAATTGTAGTTTCAATAGCCCGTGCCTTGCATCAATCAGTTTTCCGTTATTCGGATAGTTTCCGCGTCACGGTGAATGTTGTAGCACTGACCATCTGCGTCCGTCCCATTATGTTTACAGTACATGAGGGCTTGTACTCGTATTGTAAAAGTGGATAGTTGCACAGTTGATTTCCACAATCCTGCAACAGTAGATAAGTATAGTACTTAGTATAGTACAGGATTGTACTATAAGTATAGTACAGGATTGTGTAAATCAAATGTTGAACTGGTCGCGTTGTTGTACAAACTTGTGAAACTTTTGTATAGACATTATCGCTGCCTCTCATAGTTCGGGTACTTCGTCAGAGCCGAGCCGGCATTAGAGGAAGCCGAACCATGGAGCAAACACGAGACTGTTTGTTCCGATTATTCGTTTCTGCCATTTGTTGCTGAAAACATTGGTCCGTGGAGTGGGCTACATCGAAAATTTTTTAAAGGTATGCGTCCTATACTTATCACCGCGGCTGGTGACAGGGGGACCGGTTCTTTTCTCGCTCAACTTTTAGCGTAACTATTTATTACATGGGATAGATTTAATAGAAGTAATTTATTCAGATTCAATATTGTCAAAATGACGTTAATCAGCAAATCGTTATCGGGACGGATCTCGGCGGGAATTTCCAAGGCTATGTTGAGTGGCGGATTTGTAGTCTTGTCCGCCCTAGGCCCCAGCCTATGTAGTAAGTTCTTTCTCAGCGCCCATCATATATCTTGTTATCATCGGTGAATTTTCGGTCACGATTGGCCGCCCCTAATATGTGGCCCTATGCCCGGGCCTATCGGGCCCTAGGGCAAATCCGCCACTGGCTATGTTGGGTATTCTGTCGCAGAGGCGACGGCCACCGTTGAGAGGCTCTCGCGGCAGCACCGGCCGAACGCGCCGCGGAGCCGAAAGTCCACGCCGGAGACCATATCGGCCGTCCGCTGCGCCCTCTCGCAGCTGCAGGGCGAACCGGCGCCGACACTCCAAGCGCCGGCTCCAGACCGCCTCACCCAGGAGCCCGGATGACGACGCTCGACTACCTTGTAAGATTAATACCGTGACGTATCACGTTCCGTGTCTACCGATCGCATTCTCTTTGTACATTTAGGTGATTATAAATATACTTATTTTATTTCTAAACGATCGCGTTGTTCTTAGTTATCACCTGTCAGAGATCGTCGCACCTCAAATTCCCTAATTACTTATGTAGACTTTAGAAAAATCATCATAATCATTTCAGCCTGTTTGAGTCCACTGCTGAACAAAGGCCTCCCCCACAGACTGCCACGAAGCTCAGGATCAGCTACCCGCATCGACTTCTTGCACATTTGCACAGGTCGTCACTCCATCTAGTGTGTGGTCACACACTGCGATAGAGCAAAATATGTCACTGAAATAGTGTGTACAGTGAAACAGCAAGATACAGATATATTAGCTTTTCGGGAGATATATAATCATTTATTCAACAGTTTACCTTAGCAGCTAGACCGTCTTGACGTGTGCACCGGAAGTACAGTTTCAAATACCCACCCTGTTTGCGGCGATAAACCTTTCGACAGTTTTATGAGTAATTACTTATACATAATGTTTACAGTTTACAATACCGATTGTACATTTGATAGCTTTTCAGTGCTGGTCGGTTGAGCATGTTACCTTAAGAGCCTTGAGAGATGTCCTCCGTGTCATCAATTTTATCGAATTCAGTTATCCCTAAAGATTGAAATGAAAATATTTGATGTCGGCGGTACTCCTTTTGCTAATATATTTTCATAAAATGCAATTCAACGCCTTTTCATGCGCTATTTTTTTTTCAAGGTCCTCCGTCATTTAACATTAGAATCTATGGGGCATATGTTGGAACACATGACCCAAAATTTTCTATATTTATCTAAATTTTCTGTATCATTTTCAACCTATACCAAGGATAACGATATTGAATGTGGCTTATCATCAATCTTAGCCATCACTATTTCGAATTTAAAAAAAGATAATTCATAGTTGTGACTTGGTATATATGATGTTCATATATACATACCTTAGTATAAAGTAAACAAACACCCAAACCATAACATGTAACTTTTACTCAATAAGTAATTTCAAACGTATTTATAGCATATATTTACACTTGCTATAAGTTAATACACGGAAAAACTCTTATTGAACTTTATAATTGTTGTGCTTTGACACATGGGGATAATACAATATCTGTGTGCGTATTTTTGTCAGCCAATCGTGTAATAAACAAAACAGGATACGATTGTCGCGAGTTCTGCTAATCGGCTGATGACTCCGTGTCGCAGTTGCTAAGGTAATGGCTGCGGCGGCGGTGGTCGTGGGTTCGATTCCCACGCGGCCACATTTGTGTGACCAGATTCTGTGGTAGGGCCACGCAACAGTTTTCACTATTGCACGAATGGGCAGGTCCACCACGACCTCACAGAAGATCGCCGTAAAGTAGAAGTGTTACACTTCTGTGTTTCGTCTGGTGCACTCACCAGGTAGCTGGGGCGCACTTTATTTAAAGGTGGCAACGCATTTGCGACCCTGTCGGATGTTGCAAATGCCCATTGGCGGCGGTTATTACTCAACATCAGGTGAACCTTCATCAGGCATAGAGCTTGTGGTAAGGGTACGTTTCCACGAGCTTGGTAGACAGTGGCTAAACAGAGTCACATATTTGGACGTGCGTGCATTAACAAAACGAGGGGGGTGACTATTTAAATGATAACACGCTCACACATGAATTGATCGCTCCAGGCTCTTTCAAGTGGACTTTAATACGTTTTAAACCTATCCATCGCCTTGGGTAAATTCTCTATAGGCTGGGTGTATATGGAATGGAGTTTGCCTTCGAGGTGATGCCAGCCCATTACGGTTTTGGTCGGAACGACCTCATCGGTGTTTTGTTCCAGCTGACATAGTCCATGCCTGGGATCTGAATCTAGTTCATTGATAGTCTTTATCGACTCGACATCAAGCGAGATTTTCTTGAGTAAAACAATTTCTAATACGCTTGGCATTTTGTGTTGCTCATCTGAGGATCTGGTTGGGTTCTTGGGAGCTATGATGTCAACATTGATTTGCTTCTCAAAATTATAAGCCTTCCTACCGTTGTAGTTGGACTGTGTTGTCGAGTCCCACGCTCCGTGTTTGCCATTAAGGTCTCCAGCAAGTAACACGGAGTGATCCAGGCTAATTAAGGAGTATAAGTCAGATTTCAGAATTTTGGATTGCGAGAGATAGGCCGATACTGGTATAAGCGGCCTTGACCGGTAAGAATAAAATTCTACATGACGATGTTTCTATTTGGACTACTTTGGGGATGTGTTAACAACAATGACAACAACAAAGGACTTTAGTGTAATAGATTTGTGTACTGCCGTGATGGCTAGTTAGCCTGTCATGGCGAACTACGTTATACCGCAACCATAGGGTTCCGCACACTAGGCTAGAAAGTGAAGACTCATGTGCTAGGAAAATATCTACATTTCGATCGCTTAGGTAATTGTGATTTCGCCTTTTTGGCTCCTAATAACGTTTGTGCTAAAATACAAATAACTTATTACTTGTTTTGTAAGTTTATTATTTACCAGACAATATAAAGATTCAGATGGTAATATAAAATAGCTCTAGATTTTAACAGTGACACCTGTGTATCTGAGTTGTAACAGTATGCAGAACAGTTTCGCGTTTTGTTTTGTACGTCTGGAGTTGTACCTGTTTGCAAAGATGGCGCTGTTTCTTATGGTTGGAAATGTCTGCTTTAGAATTAAAATATTTCGGTTAGAGGTTGCAGTTTACCATGTTTTAATTAATTTTTTTAAGCGTTTTATCAAAGACAGTCTCCTATATATGTTAATAAAATAAATTTGCTTATTTAATGCTACAAAGAGTTAGTGTTTTTCTGATTGCTATCTGATCATATTTATTTAGTAGATGTTATGCAAGAGTGAGTAATGCTGTCATTGTAAAATATAATACGCTCAAATAATAAATTTTCATTACGACGTTCTTAAAGAAAGTCGTCCTCTGAACTGTTCAGCAAAAAATGTATAATGAGCATAGCTATTCAAACTTAGGTTACAAATTAAGATTACATATAAGACCTATATATAACCAAAGGCTACAAAGAACAATTTTTGTTCTGACCGTATGTAGCTCAAGTATGGTTCTGAATTACCTCTCATATTTTAACCTTGCTGCTGGCATTGCCACGGGCGACAACTGTTTGAGGATATACTGTTGAAAATATTAACGTAACCTACATCTTAACTTATCAGGCGTTGCGATATTGAGTTTCTTACAGTCTTCCCGCACTGTCACACGTCGGGGTGTGTGTTTTTTTTTAAACTGTGTGTTTGTGATTGGCGTTATAAAGCAAATTTTTTGTGACATTGAGTGAACAAAAACCTTGTCGTCCATATCTTGACGAATTTTCTTTACATCGCAATTTGTACGAGCTGATGTGAGTTTTGTTTAATAGATTTATACATGTTTAAAAATTTATTATCTTCTAAAATGGGTATTTTTTTTAAATGTAATTACAATGTGTAAACTATGGTTTGTATATTACGAAATCTGCTAGTGCAGGTTTTTAATATTCTTATCGTTTCACCTAACTAGTTATTATTAGGACGTGTACATGTTAATAGAAAATAGTTTAACGTTAGGTCGAAGGTCCATTCATAATATGCGGCTATCGGGCTTTTTCCTTAGAATGTTCTAAATACGATTATCAATACAAATATATTTCTTTATTGTTTTTAATTTGCATCATATTCGTTTCACCAGTTCATAGTTTTATTAATACAAACATATATTTTTTTTTTTTATGTGAAAAGTTTGCCAAACGAGCAGACGGTTCACCTGATGTTAAGTGAATATCGCTTCTAGTGACAGTGGACAAGCAAATTTTATCATGTCTACTGGTAGTGTATGGATGTGCTTGTGCTTTGTAAGTTTTTTCCACGATACGATTACTTACCATTGTTTATTATCAATAAAAAATAAATTAATTTTAACAAAAATAAGGCTGAATATTTTTACGCCTGTAATAAACATCTTCGGAGTGAATCAGATAACAATTTGATAATAACAAACTGTTATAATCTTAGCAATCCTTGTATAGGTACTGCTATTTGACTTTTCACCCAACATAATTTAAGTTAGTAAAATTACAAGGGGTGTTAATTTATCCGCTTTTCCGTTGATATCTAAATTTTGATTATAATAGTTCTTATGATGAAAACCATCGTTCTATTTTATTATTTTATAATTTATGTACACAGAGAATTATGACAGAAATGTAAATACTTACATGAAAAAATTTGTACAAAGGCCCTGCTTATTTCTTAAGAAATTTCTTCCAGCAGACCCGTGACTGGAAATTGGTTACAAATGGTAGTTAATTGGTTCTAGTGGAGCTGTACTCGGAATTGCTGTTATTAGCTTCTCACAAAATGAAATAAAATAACCAATGGCATCAATCCATTGCTTATTTTATTTAAAAGCCTTTTTCCAAGCGCTTGTTAAATTATCAGCCTATTTCGTGGCATTAGTTAAGAGAAAACAACACTTTTTTCCTTATTTTTTGATTGTTTTAAATAACTAAACGTCTCACTAAGAAATAGCGAGTGATGGCGCGCGCAATCCGATAAACTAACGCCCGGTTTCTGAAACACTGGTCATCGTAGAAATTAACTGATCAGTAATAATTGTTAACCACAGATAATTATTGTTCACGTCGACAAACATTCTTATCTGGGTGATATCCACAATTTGTGATGTACTTCTACAGTAATAATCATGCTTTACCATGGACGACCTTATTAAAATGTTAACGGGGGAGAAAGAGTTTCACAGATCAGTTGTTTATCAATATATATCAAATATACACCAAATATACAATTCTAACTTCGGCAAGCGACGAAATAGCTGTTTAACATGAATGAATGAATGAATACTTTTATTTTCCACCAACCACAAATGAAAGGATACACAAAATTAACAACAAAATGGAATGC